TGTCCAGTGCCACGTTACCTTGCCCCATGGCGACAGCGTCTGCACGGGTGGCTCTTTGCAGTGCCGAAACAATCCAACTCTTGCAGGTTGCAGCGGAGACTTCGGTAATCGATGTGCCGAGGGCTCTGCAGGCATGATGTGTGGGGAGTGTCCGGAGGGCTGGGCCAGAACCACCCTCTTGGAATACTGCCAGCCCTGCGAGCTCGGCGAGGGGGGTGCCTGGTTGCTGAGCGCCACTGTTTTAGCAGATCTCACGCGAATCACAGCTTTGAACTTCGTGCTTGCGGTTCTGGCGGCTAAAGGATCAGAGAGCTCTTTGAAGCTCCACACTTGCATGATCCGCATGGTCCAAGCTTGGATCGGCTCCTGCCAAATCTTACTTGCGTTCAATCTGGATCGTTTGCAGCCTTTCCAGTGGTCCAACGAAGAGTGCGAGGGGGAGGAGCAGTGCACCGAGAATCGACGATTCCCGTGGCCTGAAGCTGTTTCCGATGCGATGCGTGGAGTGATCTCTTTGACAGCGGTGGTTCCACGGGCAAGCGTGAACTTTGTAGCCGAATGCCAAGCCGAGAGCTGGTCGCCGGGTGACAAGGCCGCGAAGCGGAGTGCACCGGCATTGTACTACCTGTGCTTGCCTGTGCTAACTCTTCTTGGCACGCTAATCCTGTCGGCACTTGTGGTCTACGCTGTGCTGCCGCTGGGAAGAAAGCTCGGGTTCCATTTCAATGATGCTCGCCCGCACAGGAGAACAGCGACTACTGACCATTGATCAGCCCTCGTCGTCCCAGTCCCGAAACAACGAGACGAACACAGAAAGCCCAAAACCCCTTTAACGTTGGAATTTCGCTGAAATGATAGAGGGCCTACTGTTATGTATCATTTAAGCCATATAAACCCTAAACCCTGAACCCTAAACCCTATATACATATATATATAGATATACATACATACATACTTACATACATTTACACCTTAAAATAAAGGGGTCTTGGGCTCTCTGGGAGAAGCCGAGGAAGTAGACCGCAAGCGGGCCAAGCGCCTGGCAGCCCTAAAAGCCGTGCGAGACCATCTGACCCTGGGCATGAAGAAGGACAGCACTGAAGAGCAGGACCCTGGAGTTCAGGGTTATGGGTTTAGGGGTTTAGGGTTTAGGGGTTTAGGGTTTAGGGTTTGGGGTTTAGGGTTTGGGGTTTAGGGTTTAGGGGTTTAAGGGTTTAGGGTTTGGGGTTTAGGGTTTAGGGGTGCATTATCATCCTGGGTGATAGTTGGGTAAAATGTTACATGTCTAAGGGTACTTAAACCCATTAAGGGATAAGCATCAACACTTATAATACGATCCCAACCATGAACTCGTGAAGGGCAGGACCCGCCCGAAGCTTAAGCTTGCGAAGAGGGTTAGGGGACTTGGTAGCCAGGTTATGAGGTAGAGTGATGAGTACCTTAATTGTGGTTGCTGCATACAACCTGCTTACTAAGTTCCCTCGGCCTCTAAGCTATCTACCCTGCCTTTTAAGCTTCCTTGCCGCGAGCTCTTGCGCAGGATGTCGGTGAGAAGCCTCAGGCTGAAGGTCCCGACAGCGCCGCGCCGAAGCTCGGAGGTGTGCTAGAAGAGCTTCGAGCCTTGGACGAGGCGAACGAGGGGCCGCGTAGCTCCTAACCCTAAACCCTAAACCCTAACCCGTAGACTTTTAGACTCTTAAACCCTTAAACCCTAAACCCTAAACCCCAACCCTTAAACCCTAAACATCCCTAAACCCTAAACCCTAAGCCCTAACCCTTAAACCCTAAACCCTAAGCCCGTTCAAGCTTGTCGGAGTTCTCTGTGAGCTTTCGGCAAGGTGGACTTGGACGCGGTTCCAGACAACGTTCTGGCTGAGGGCATACCAGATGAGCAGCTTCTGGCCATCGCCGACTGCTCAGCCTCCTTGTCCCAACGGGTCCAAGTATCATTATCGAATATACTTATACGGTATTTTGGGGGGTGTAAGTATATACCATAATGGTTCTTGGACCCTTTGGGTGTAAAGATAGCTCTGGTTTTGATGAAGACGTGCATGCTCCCGTGTTGAGACCCCGACCTGTAACCGCCTGAGGCATCCGATGGTTTGTTCACCGAGAAAGCCCTGCAGCGAGTGGAGCCTGCCCCAGTTTTTTTTTGTGTGTTGTCCTTCTGTGGAGCCATGTCTCTGCGATGTTCGGAAAACCAATCGAGTGCACGTTTTGATGCCGGGCAGGGGCGGCTGTGCATCAACATCTTAACATATGCGTCCATTACATTGTAGCTTCCATATCAGACATTGCTTCTGCAAGCATCCGACCTGCATCGATTTGGTTCACAACTGTCAACAAATCGCGTGTTGAACGGGCTTTCGCCTTGCATGGAACCTTGAGGCATAATTCGGGTATATCATACTTCTTCAGGTTTATGTCCAGCCCTAAGCCGAAACCCTCAAACACTAAAATCCAAACCCTAAGCCTTGAAAGAGCCCATAAAGGAACCCTTAGAGGAACCTTGAAAGGAAAAAGAGCATGCTGTTGTCGTAGGCTTTGGGGTTTCGGGTTTTTCAGCCTAACCCCCCACTTCAGAGGCTTCTCGTCTGCCCTTTTTTTACAGTGAGCTTGATTCTGTAGACCCTAAACCCTAAACCTTAAACACTAAACTCCAAACCTTAAGCCCTGAGCACGAAACCCTAAACCGTAGGCAGCCCGGGCTTCTGCTGTTGCCGAGGTCCTTGGTGCTGTGGCGTGGAAGATGAGAGGACCGACCCATGGACACGAATCCCTAACCCTCATCCTCGAAGACACTAGACCCTAATCCCCGAAACCTCAATCCGAGACCTTAAGCCTTAAACCGTAATCCTAAAGCCCAGTCCCTAAACCCTAACTCCTTAGCCCTAATCCCCTAAACCCTCCCAAACTCCTAAACCCTAATCCCTGAACCCGTCCCTAAACCCCGTCCCCAAACCCTAAATCCTACACTCTAATCCCTGAACCCTCTCCTTACATCTGCAGGAGCCTCCGTCGTGCCTTGTTTGTTCAAACTTAAGAATATGGATAAAGGTCAAGGGATACGTGCGAAGAAACGAAGGCTGATGTAAGATTCAACGAGGTGAAAAAAAGGACGCCTCGTGTTTTCTCAATGGAAAGGGATTATTTGAGCGGGTGGGTTTTTTGTGTTTTCACTCATAGCTTGACTAGTAATTGCTTGGCCGTGCCAATCGTAAACCCTAATCCCTAAACCCTAGACCCTCAACCCCAATCCCTAAGCCCTAAACCCTCTCCTGAACCCTAATCTCTAAATCCTAAATCCTAAACCCCAATCCCTAAAGCCTCTCCTAAACCCTCATCCCTAAACTCTAATCCTAAACCCCAATCCCTAAAGCCTCTCCTAAACCCTAATCCCTAAACCCTAAATCCTAAAGCCTCTCCTGAACCCCAATCCCTAAAGCTTCTCCTAAACCCTCATCCCTGAACAATAAATCCTAAACCCCAATCCCTAAAGCCGCTCCCTAAACCCTAATCCCGAGCCCGAAATCCTAAACCCTAATCCCGAAACCCGAAATCCTAAACCCTAATCCCTAAACCCCAAAAGTCCTTTGCGGCTGAAGGAGAGCTGGAGGCAGAAGCGGACCGCGGAGGCTTCCGGAAGGCTCCTGGAGTTCAGGGCGAGTCAGAGTAGGCTATAAGGTTCCTTTAAAGGGCTTCCTTAGGGGATCTATAAAGGGTTTGCTTTAAAGGGCTTCCTTAAGTGATCTACAAAAGTTCTATACGGGGGTTGCCTTAAAGGGCTTCCTTGAGAGATCTATAAGGGTTCTATAAGAGGTTTAGGGTGTAGGGTTTACTCGGAGACCCAGGAAACTTAGCCAGTAGCGTAGCCATAGTTAGGGTACTTAACGCCTCGTTACTGAGCCCCCTGGGCCTTCCAGAGGGGACGATTCCACGTCCCCAAGGTCCCCGGAGAGCCCAGTACTCCTTAAGGATATAGCTTAAATCACAACGGAAAGCTCCCTACATCCCTTAATTGAGGGGTCCTGCCCGAATTTTGACACAAGCAGATGCCAGGTTCAAGTCTTACAAACCATCCCCGGAAGGTGCATAAGACGAGGTTGGAAAGCAACATGACTTGCCATCAGCAGCCTGTAAATGCTGCAGAAATTCCCCGACACAGCTACGGCAGCGAGCCTTTCGAGCCTTTCGTTTGATGAGCTTTCCCCTGCAAATTCACGAAGACAAGAATGACAAATGTGGACATTTGCAGTAAGATCTATAGTACTTCCAGAACACAACTTCGGAGACAGGAGCGCGGGTCTCCTTTCCGGAGTTGAGGCTCTCTCCTCATGCCCAACAGAACTCTAAATCCCGAAACCCGTTTTTTCAAGCTCTAGCCCTCCGGCACAAGGCGGCCTTTGTTTTGGAGGTGGCTGGGGCTGCGGAGTCCGTCGCAGAGCTCGTCGACTTGCAAGGGGAGCTGGGGCCAACAAGCCCTAACCCGGAACACTAAACTCTAAGCCCCTAAACCCCAGACCCTAAACCCTAAACCCTAAATCCTGCATGAACACTAAACCCTAAACCCTAAACCCTGCATGAACCCTAAACTCTACAGGAGCTGGGGCGTTCGCTGCTCCTGCGTGCCGAGGATCATCTACGGCTCAAGGAGTCGGAGCTCGTGGCGGAGGATTGGGTTTAGGGCTTAGGGCCTTTAGGGTTTAGGGCTCAGGGCCTTTAGGGCTTAGGGTTTAGGGCTGAGGTTCTTTTAGAGTTTATAGGGTTTAGGGTTCAGGGACAAGTGGGGTTTCATAGGGTTTTGAAGGGTTACACAAGACTTGTATCGGGGATTACAGGGCTCTACAAGGGCTTTATGTGGACTTGATTCGGAGGTCCAGGGGACCGCTGCAAGCTTGGACCTCGCGCTCTTCACTTTCCGCCCCGGGCTGATGGCGCTGCTGAAGCAAAGTGTCCCGGTGATATGGCTCACGCAGCTGGCCTTGTGGCCAGAGCTCATGTCCCAGTTTATGCAGATGATTCGATGCATCTCGGTCCGCGAAGATAGAGACGGGCCGGTGATGGTGCAGCGTCTGCATGCACATCCCGATGTGGAGTGCTGGCAAGAGGAGCACATGACGCTCTTTACTATCGGTGCGACGGGCCTGGTGCTATGGTGCTTCGGCATCCCGCTTGCCCTGTTCCTTCGAATTTGGGCCCTGAGGGATCGGCAAGAGCCGGAGAATCGTCGCCTTTTCGGCTACTTCATTGAAGGCCTAGAGCCCAGGTTTTGGTGCCTTGCACGACAAACATTCTGAAGAGCTTTCCATGGTTCAAGCTGGACGCAACCCCAACGGTAGTGGGAGATGGTGCCTAGGCCCCAGGCCCAAAACCCAGCATATAAAACTCAAAACCCTGAACCCCAGACTCTAACTTCCCAAACCCTGGAAGCCTCGACAGTCTTCATCATGGGCACTTAACATGGTCCCTTACCCTTCTGTATAGGGGTCCGAAGTAAGGGCCCTTATGATGTATACTGTGTAAAAGGGTTATAACAAGGGTCCCAAATCGAGGGCCCATACTTAGGACCCTAGAAAGCCTCGCCAAGGTATTGGGAGTTGGTGGTGAAGCGGCTTGATATCGGCCTGATGCTACTCATCGCCTCCACATCCATAGCCACTGACGACAAGGCAAAGCTGTTGCTCTTTGCCTTAAACTCAGGCATACAGCTCGCCGTCACGGCTTGGCTGAAGCCATATTCCAACTCGCAAGCAGAAGTTTTAGACTTCTTGGAATGTCTCCTGCTCGGTGCACGATTTGTGCTTTTCACCACCGTTACGATGCTGCTGATCTTCTTTCCTTCCCGGGAGAGCATCTGGGCTTGGTCGGCCACTTGCCTCGCATGAATGCATTAGGGTCAGGGTTTAGGGTTGAGGGTTTAGGGTACACGAGCTTCGCAGTTGCGCTCGAAAGAAGCCGTTGACCGCCGAGGTTTCGTTGCTCGTGATGCTGGTGGCAGTGATTTTGTACGTGGTGCTTCACATCATCGGTCAGACCCTTCGCAACGCTGCTGGCGAGCTGGACGGCAAGCCCAAGAAGCGTGAGGAGCGGGCCCCATTGGTCCCCAAGCCTATGGTCCGTTACCCTTGTTTATAGGGGTCCCAAGTAAGGGCCCCTGCGACCGAAGGTTTGTGCAAGTAAGACGGGACAGGAGCGGAACATTGCTCTTCGCCATGCGTCTGCCTCTCGCAGCGGCATCATCAAGTCCGATGGCGCCACGGCTGCTTCTGTGTAGTACTTCGTCCAACGCGGCATGTGCACAAACAGGTTCAGGGTTAAGGGCTTGCGGTTTGGGAACGCCTGCTTTGGCTGGCTGATCATGTCCCCGCAAGCTCGAGACCCCTAAATCCTCAACCCCAACCCCAAAACCTTAACTTCAAACATCTTGAAGCAGTGCTATCCATTTAGCTGGAAGCTGCCTGTTAAGGGTGGAGGGTTTTAGGGTTTGGCAGTTTGGGGTTTTGAGTTTAGGAGTTTAGGGGTTCGGGGTTTAGGGTTTAACGCTCTTTAGGTTAGGGGTTTAGGGTTTTAGGGTTCAGGGTTTAAGGGGTTTGAGTAGAGGGTTTTTAGCGTTTAGGGTTTTGGGTCAAGTTCGTCGTCACTCCGCCAAAATCCGGAGTAAACAGCAGTGAAGCTCTCGGCCTAACCCTCAACCCTAAATCCTGAACCCTAACCCCTAAACCCTCGACCATAAACACCAAATCCTAAACCCCAAACCCTCAACCCTAAACCCTCAACCCTAAGTCCTCAACCCCAAACGCCTCAAAACGCACTAAAACGCCCCAAAGCACCCCAAACCGCCATGGACCCAGGGCCTGGTCTCCTCGCAAAGCTGAAGCAGAGCGGCGTGGCGCTCTTGCTGCCGCTGTTCCAGCCGGAGTCTGGTACGGTTTAAGGTTTAGGGTTGTAGGGTTTAGGGTTTAAGGTTTAAGGTTTAGGGTTTAGGGTTTAGGGTTCGTTGCGGTTAGGGTTGAGGATCATAGTAAGGAAAACATATATGATTGACTGTAGATCCGGATTGTATTGTGGTAACTTGAGTAGTCTGGGTTGCAACCGTTTTCTCGTAACAAGAGCTTCATATTCCAAAATAGGCAAATTTGTATTGCTTACTATTATAAACCCTTGTTCTGAAGGAAACCTTGTTATTTGCTTTAGATCCCTATCAGGGTAAGTTCAATTTTCATACTGAACTATGTATGAAAATTTAACTTGCCGATTCGAGGGCAATCCTACTATTTACTGTGCATCCCTCTGATGACATCCTTAAATTAGTTCCCTTACAGCAACCCAGCATATTGGGTCTCTCATGGCAAGTAGTTCTAGTTTGGAATTGAGGCACCGTTTTAGCTACTAGTCTCTTAAGACGCACCCCAGGAGTCTCTGAACCGTCATAATTTAAGCTTGCCCTCGTTCGTTTTTACATGTCTTTATTTGACCTTATTTGCCCTTAAATTAACCCTAAGAAGCCCTTCAAGGAACCCTGAAAGGCACCCCAGAACCCCTTGCAGGAACCCTTAAGAGGCCCTTACAGGCACCCCAAGCCACCCTTAAAGGGAACCCAAAACCACCATGAGGAAACCCTGTTGAGAACCTTAGAGTTCCTTCCTTAAGAGCCACTCTGAATCCTAAGCCCATAAATCCCGATCCCGACACCCTGAACGGTTTAGGTTCCCTAAGAGCATCCCTAAACCCTGAACTCCATACAAAGGTCATTAAAATAGGCTATATTGATGAGTAAATTCCTTAGGAGCAACCCGGTAAACCCTAAACCCTAAACCCTAATTCCTTAAGGGCAGCCCAGTAAACCCTAAACTCTAAACCCCAAACTCTAAACCCTAAACTCCTAAACCCTAAACTCTAAACCCTAAACCCCAAAACCCCCAAACCCCCTAAACCCCTGAACCCCTAAACCCTAAACCCCCGAACCCCTGAACCCCTAAACCCCCCCAACCCTGAACCGTAAACCCCTAAACCCTAGCGTTCCTTAAGCGCAGCCCAGGAGTCACATCTGGCCTTCGACTGGTCATTAAGAGCGGCGAGTCCCAGCATCATCACCCGCAAGAGCCAGATCCAGGCCCCTCCAAAAGTGCTCGCGTGATATAAAAAGTAACTATAACAGTAACAAGGACAATAACGGTAGTAACGGTAGTAATAATAATATCAACATAATAGTAGCGGCAACAATAACCACAATATCAGTAGTAATCACTAGGAACTGGAATTGTAATCGAAACACTACAAGTTTTTGGTAATCATGAGTGGTTTAGGCACCGCCCCCAAACAACGAGCCTCGTCCAAAATAAGCCTGTTTGCCTTTGTCTTTTCTTGCCTTCGACATCTTTCCTGAAAAACCACTAAATGCCACTATTTGTCACCAAAAGCCTCAAGCCTTAAACCCTAAAGCCTAAATCCTGGATCCTGAATTAATGCCCTCAGTGACCCTAAGGGTTGCCTTTTGTTTGCACACTAAACGCCCGGGTTCAGGGTTTATGGTTATATGCTGCTGTGTTGCTATTGTGTGCACTGCGAAACCTAGAACTCTGATGCCTTCAGCCAGTCAGTGGGTAAACAAAGGCAACAACGGGCACTTCCAGCGCAAATAAGTGGCAAATTCAAGGCATATACAGCAACATAGCAGTTGAGATGTCGAATAACGACAAATACGGGCACATGGCTGTCAAATGGGGGCAAATGAAAGCAAAAAGCGTAAAACTACTACTACTACTACTACTCCTACTGCTACTACTACTACTACTACTACTACTACCACTACTACTACTGCTGCTACTACTACTACTGCTACTGCCACTACCACTCCTACTACTACTACTACTACTACTACGACCACGACTACGACTACGACTACTACTACGACTACTACGACTAATAATGAGAACAACAAATATTAGCAATAATAATAGCAATAACAGTAATAGCACTCATAGATTTTTAGTAATCACAGCAATATCCATGGTAGCAGTAACAATAAGGGTGACAGGAGTGGCATTAGCTCAAAGGCCCGAAGCTTCGTTTGATGTTAATGTAAGTTTCAGGGTTTCGGGTTTTAAGCATCTGGAGGTACCGCGGTTCCTGGTGGAGCGCAGCCTCTGGGAAGCACGTGGAAGTTGTCGGTTGTGCTCAGGGCATTTTGGTAGTAGGAAAAAGATCCTTACCCCCAAATCATAAACCTAAATCCTGCGCAGGGTGAGTTTGGTACTAGTGGTTGTGGAAGGCCGTTTCTGGACAAAGCCCCGCCAAGTCTTCCACTATGACCTGAACCGTAAGCTTTCACCCCAAACTGTTTTCTCGCGGAGCCATGAGGCTGGTTGCTGACGAGGATGACGAAACTATCGTCGCTTTTGTTGAGGCTTTCCGTCGGATTTCAAAAGGAGGCAGTGAGTAAGGCCTACCAGGACTTCGTTCAGCTCTGGCTGTCGGATTTCGATGGATACAACATCCCCAATGTGAGCGTGCTGTGCGCCTTGGCTGTCGCTTGCCGATCGCTACCCCATAACCTGGGGAACTCTGTGATCTGCAGCTTTTGGAAGAGGGAGACCCAGAAGCTCGGATTGCAGGCCTGGTGTCCTGGTCTTGTGATTCGGGACCCAGGGGATCTTAGGAGAACCGCAGCCTGAAACATGCCAGGGGCAGAAGAAGTTGGCATTGCAGAGCCCTTTCCAGCATGAATGATACCGAGTGCTGAATCAGATGTATAAGTTTCTTGAGAACGTGTCTTGTCAGCGATGCACGTGGTAGGGAAGTTCGTGTTTTATTCGATTTCCTGGCATCCGGCTGAGAGTGAACTACAAGCAGATCCAAGTTCTAAGTTCTAAGTCGATCTCGGCTACCCGCGCAGTTCAGGTGCTGTTCCGTGTTGAGGTCGGGACTGAGTTCCCAGAGTGTTCCAGAATTGCGGACCTTCAGGCTTTAGTGTTTAGGGTATGTCTAGGCTGATAGATATCTTGACGCAGCAAAGGTTAAGACATGGATACGATGGGCTCCGACATACAAGGTACAAGCAATCTACCTCTGTTGTGAGGCTGTTTGCATTGGTGGTGCCTTCGACGGTGCAGTCCCTGGACCCTAAATCCTAGACCCGAAACTCTGAAATCAAACGTGTCCATGAAGGCAAATGCAAATGCTCGCTGGCAGCTTTTCGCCGATGATTTCGCCAAGACGGTGCAGATGTTCGCGATGCTTCAGAAGGCTGCGCAAAGTAATGATAACTGTGATGCTTGTAGCAATGCGAATGATATGATCAATGTGGTAATCGTAGTTCTCACAGCAAGAGTAAGCTCTCGTAGCATCAGTATTTGAAATACCATGCCGAGCTGGTGCTTCGCCCCAGGAGCTCGATGTGTTTTTGGCATGCCGCTGCCCTAGACCCTAAACTCTAAACCTTCCGGCACTCAGCTTAGTTCATGACATACAACTGAACATACTCTTCCGCACCGAAACTCATGCTAAATCCTACTACTGCTTCCACTCCGAAGCAGATCTTGTGAAGCAGAAAACCAGGTCATACCTTTAGTCACCAGACGCCCCGAGCACCCTTGGATCACCCTGGAGCTTTCGCAGGCTTTGCAAGAAACTAAACACTGCGTGCTGATCACAACGCCGAGGCTTCTGCTCAGTACAAACGATCAAAATCGCAAGTTCGTAAGCACAAAAGACAATGCTTACGGTCCGAAGTTTTTGAGGCCCACCAAGAATTCCACCATGCCTTATGGAAGGTCGTAAAGTCGCGCCGTACTGGCTTCAGGGAACGTGAATCCGGGCGAAGACGCAATGGGGTTCCAGCACCATGGTCAGAGAACCATAGGATCTTCGCAGGTTCCTTTCGGAA